CGCGCCCCTCCCCCCCGGCCGGTTCCGCTGCCATGACCGTTGCTGCCGCCGCCACCAGCCATACGTTTTAAAGAGCCCCTAACAAGACCTGGGGGAGCAAGAATGACCTCTCGCATGTGATGGCCGAGCGGCGTTGCGAGAGGTGGAATTTACCCCTATACACGTGAGAGGTGGAATTTACCCCTATACACCAAGGCCACCACCCCGCACCTCAGAGAGGCAGGGGAACGTTTTGTGCCCCTCCCCCCAGCTGTTGCCGCTGCCATTACTGCTGCCGCCGACAGCCATAACTTTTTAAAGAGTCCCTAACAAGACTTGGGGGAGCCAGAATGACCTCTCTTGTGTGATGGCCCGGCCATCACACGCGAGAGGTGGAATTTGCCCCTAGGACTCTGAGGCCACCACCCCGGGGCTCAGAGAGGCAGGGGACCATTTCACGCCCCTCCCTCCCCTTGCCACTGGCGTTACCGCTTCAGAACCATGTTGTGGTTTTATGGTTTTGCCACGAAGCCATGAATTCTGTGGAGCAAGTAGTGGCTATGGACATGATACGGGATTTAATGGTTTGTTTGGGTGTTCCAACACAAAACCCCGAAGAATTGATGAGGATCCATGCTCCAGAACCATGTTTTGGCTTCACGGTGTTGCCACGAAGCCATGGATCCATGACTTTTGTGGTGCAAGCTGTGCCCATGGACATGATATGTGATTTGATGGTGAGTACATGGGGACCCAACACAGAAACACTGAGGATCCATGAGGATCTGTGCTTCGGAACCATGTTTTTGCAGCATGGTGTTGCCATGAAGCCCCGGACCCCTTAATACTGTGGTGTAAGTAGTGGCCATGGCTATGGTATGGGATTTAATGGTATGTTTGGTCACCCCAACATCACCATCAAATCACACATCATGTCCACGGACACAGCTTGAACCACAGAAATCATGGATCCACAGCTTCGTGGCAACACCATGAAGCCAAAACATGGTCCTGAAGCACGGATCCTCATGGATCTTCAAGGTTTCCATAATGGGTCACTCCAAACACACCATCAAATCACATAACATGTCTATGCCAACTGTTTAAACCACAAAAAAATAAAATAAAGTCGGCCATAACTTTTTAAAGAGCCCCTAACAAGACCTGGGGGAGCCAGAATGACCTCTCGCGTGTGATCACACGCGAGAGGTGGAATTTACCCCTAGGACTGCAAGGCCACCACCCCGGGGCTCAGAGAGGCGGGAGAACATTTCGCACCCCTCCCCCCCAGCTGTTTCCGCTGCCGTTACCGCTGCTGCCGCTGGCCATAACTTTTTAAAGACCCCTAACAAGACCTGGGGGAGCCAGAATGACCTCTCGCATGTGATCACACACGAGAGGTGGAATTTACCCCTATACACCAAGGCCACCACCCCATGCCTCAGAGAGGTGGGGGAACGTTTCACAGCCCTCCCCCCGGCCGTTTCCGCTGCCGTTACCATTGCTGCTGCCACTGCCAGCCATAAGTTTTAAAGAGCCCCTAACAAGACCTGGGAGAGCAAGAATGACCTCTCGCATGTGATGGCCGAGCGGCGTTGTGAGAGGTGGAATTTACCCCTGTACACGCGAGACATGGAATTTACCCCTATACACCAAGGCCACCACCCCGTGCCTCAGAGAGGTGGGGGAACGTTTCGTGCAGCATGGTGTTGCCACAGAGCCGTGGCACCATGATTTCTGTAGTGCAGGCTGTGGCCATGGACATGATATGGGATTTAATGGTATGTTTGGGATGTCCCAACACGAAAACCCCAAGGATCCATAAGGATCCGTGCTTCAGAATCAAGTTTTTGCACAAAAGATTCACCACGAAGCTGTGGATCTGTGATTATTGTGGTGCAAGTTGTAACCGTGGATGTGCCATGTGATTTGATGGTGTGTTTGGGGTGACCCAATTGAAAAACCCTGAGGATCCACAAGGATCCGTGCTTTGGAACCATGTTTTTGTAGAATGGTGTCACCACGGAGCTGTGGACATATGATTTCTGTGGTGCATTCTGTGGCCATGGACAAGGCATATTATTTGATGGTGATGTTGGGGTGACACAGTGCAAAAATCATAAGGATCCATAAGGATCCGTGCTTCAGAACCATGTTTTTGCAGCATGGTGTTGCCACAGAGCCATTGCACTGTGATTTCTGTGATGCAGGCTGTGGCCATGGACATGATATGGGATTTAATGGTATGTTTGGGGTGTCCCAACACAAAAAACCCAAACATCCATGAGGATCCGTGCTTCAGAATCATGCTTTTGCAGAATGGATTCACCATGAAGCCGGGGATCCGTGATTTTTTTGGTGCAAGCTGTGGCCTTGGATATGTTCTGTGATTTGATGGTGTGTTTCAGGTTACTCAACTGAAAAACCCTGAGGATCCATGCTTTGGAACCATGTTTTTGCAGTTTTGTGGTGCCATGAATTCCTGGGGGCATGATTTTTGGAGTGCTGCCTATAGTCTAAGACATGGTCTACAGCATGATGTTGGTTTTATTTCATTTCAGCGTAAAAACTATATGAATTCATGAGGATCCGTGCTTTGGAACCATGTTTTTGCGCTGTTGTGGTGCCACGAATCTGTGGATGCCTGATTTTTGTGGTGCCCCTTGTAGACTAACCCATGACCTACAATATAATGGTGGTTTTATCTCGTTTCAATGGAAAAATCATATGAGATCCGACTTTTACCCAGACCCACTCTAAGACACGTGTGTGGAAGCAAAAAGTGCAAAAGTCGCTTCTCCGGGGATCCTTCCGTTCAACAAGCACGTGTTTCCACGGGGTGTGGGGAAGCGCCATGCCGGCCTCCAAATTCCCTAGCTCGGGTACTGTTCTGCAGTGCAGCCGGGTTGCTCCTTTTCTTCCCCCCGCGCCTCCCCTGCCCCGTGGCCAGAGGCGCCTGTGTCGCCGCCGCCGCCGCCTTTCCTCCGCGCGGAGCTGTCGCCGGTTTGTTTTCCTGCCGAAAGGCACTCGGCGGCTCGCACCAGCCGTCCAAGCCGCCGAGTGCCGCCTGCCCTCCGCGGCCATCCAGCCCGGGCGGAGAGAGCCCCCCGCCTGAGCGCGCCCCGGCCGAGGCAGGCGCCTGGACAAAAGTCTTGGCGAAAGTCTGCGCGGCGCTGCAGAGCGAAGAGGGGCGTCGGGGACAACGCAGCTCGCCAAGAGTAGAGGCGGCGGCGGCGGCGGCGAGGGGGGGGGAGGCGTTGCAGGCTGCCGCTGGTGAAGCCAGCCCCCCGCAGGAGGTTGGGATCCGGCTCCTCATTAGGCGAAACACTTTTCTCTCTGGATTTCGAGCCGCCAGTAGAAAACGAGAGAGAGAGAGGAGGCACGTGGGGGGGTGCAACCTGTCTCCAGTTCTTGCTACAACTTGGCAAAGAATATTTCCCCCTCCCTAACTGCATCCCTGCAAGCCAGCCAATAAAAAAAGTTATTGGGGATTCGCTTGGAGAGTAGATCGAGCGAGAGCGCAAAGAGGCGTAACTATCTGCTCGCTTTAAGCAAAAGTATACCGAGAACGAAGATCTCTCCTTTGGAAGAGGGGAGTCGCGTTTGATCTGTATTCTTGGAGCCGCTGTGTGCCAAGCACCAAGGGGTCCCGATGCAACTGCCGGCGCCCTTCCTCCTTTACGTCGTGGCCTGGGCCAACTTTTGCCACCGCCACGGCTCCGCCGCCCAGAGCGGATCTATCCGAGCGCTGCGAGCCTCGAACCTGCGGAGAGACGGTGAGTGATACCTTCTTTCTCTGGCTACAGCTTGGGACGTGGGCTGGAGGACCAGGCGGACGCCAAAGCCTGTTGGTTGTGGAAAGGCGCCCCCTGCAAGTTCTCTTGAGAGGTGCAATTGAATGAAGAGAGAACAGGTGACAAGGTGAATTATGCGTGTTGGGGGGGTGTCTGTCATTGTACCCCCACACACACTTCAGCAATGACTTTTTCAGGAATGCTTTGGTACATCTGAAGAGGTGAGCAGTGACTCATGAAAATGCATACCCTGCCACATATTTTGTTAGTCTTCAAGGTGCCACTGGACTCTTGCCCTTTTCTACTGCATTTGGTACATGAACCTCACATCTAGAACTCACAAAGCTATCATTAAGCCTGGTCCAGCTACAGCTCATTCTTGGATAGGCATCATCAGTCCATAGATAGCTGTTGGGTTTCTTCCTACAGAAAATGCTTTCCGTCTAAGAAAGGCAGAACTTTGGGAGGAACTCGAGCCCCTCAGTAGATCATCACCTGCGGCAGTGGGCCATGCTGGTTTATCACTCTGGGATGCAAACCTGCGCAGGGTTACTGGAGAGTAAACCCCATTGAACCCAGTAGGGTCCGCTTTGAGTTAAAGATGCATTGTCACACATCTCTAGAGGTCTAGGAAGATGTTCTAGAAAAGGTAGATGTTATTGCCAGGACATCCAAGGGAAGACAACAGGAATCGGGTGTGCTGCAACACTTTTAAGTTTCATTTCATAATCACATTCTTTGACTTTGTGGGCAGGTTGGGGTGCGCCAAGAGCTGAAATGTGCACATTCTTCGGGGACTGGACGGATTGCCTGGCTTTGATCCTTTCCCCCCAGTTACATGTGGGGCCACGTAGCACGCCACCAATTCCCAACATGGAAGATACTTACATGTAGGAAACTTCATGAAACCAGGACTTAGATGATAACTGGGTTATCATCCAATGTGTGGGACATTTATGAGTGTGTGAAATATACATACATGTAATGTGCATGCACTGGAAAGTAGTATATACAGAGTATTATGCAAAGGATCATTGCAAATGCTGGACTACATTTTATCAATACTGAAGTGCTTTCCATGTTATGATGGGGAAACTGAAGGTATGACCCTTGCAAAGTACACAGTATAGGTTCATCAAGGGGTGGGAACCCAATGGATAGACATCTGAAAGAGACCATTGAGTGCTGATTCTAAAAAGACAGGGGCTGTGTTCAAATTTATCTGAAAATTGCACCCTCTGATCCAGGAGACATGCCCCAACAAGTGAGTGGCCAATGACTCTTAGGTCAGTGGTAGTGTATACTCTGTATGCATGATGTCCCAGGGACCAGTCTCCAGCATCTACAGCTTCAAGACCACAATAGCAAGCATGGGAGTGAGAATACTTTGTCTGGGACGTTTGAGAGGCATGGTCATTCAGAACGGATGGCCAGTAGTATGGTAGCTTCCATCCAGATGTGCAGAGATTGCTGGTGGTTTCAGATCCAGACAGCCCTGAATCAGGTTCAGTTTTCTTACATTTCCACTAGAGTGTTTGAAAGTTGGGCTGTTGGAACCTGTGCAGAATAGGATGGCTACGATGGTTACTGCATATTGGTGTTCTTCCAATGACTTCATTCTGTTGGGTGACTGTACACAAAACAAAAGGTTATTTGCTAGCTAGAGAGTGGAAGTGGATGATTGTCTGAAGTCATCCTGTGAGCTTTAGGGAAAGCATGGTTTTCCTGATGAGTAGAGCTTGTTCTCCACAGGCTGAAAATTGTGATTGCATTTTGAAATAGCCTGTTCCGAGCACACGAGAGGTGGTCTTTAATTTTTCTTTCATCTCCTGCAATCTCATATTTTTAATACTTTCCAGATGAAAAAGGAATCACTGCTGGCTGCAAACTTCAGAGTGCAATTTATGGAATATTTCCATGGGACTGTAAGGAATTAATGGATCCTGACCATTGCCAGTATCTAAAATGAGAGGTGCTGGAGCCCAGGTGTGCCTAGGACATCTTCAGACCCCCAAACACCAGCCTCTTTAATTTTAGGGAGAGGGTTGGCAGACAGGATGGTCAGGTGTAACAATGATAGGAAATACGTTCTGCATAGATCGTAAGCTACCACTTTCTTCTTACTATATCTCTGTTTCTTGAACTTTTTGAACTTGTACCCCCCCATTCTAACATAGAGTTACTTAGAACACGTGGACCCCTAATGACCAAACTAGCAGCAGATATCTGACCATGTTTGTAGATGCTAGCATGCCACCTACTGCCAAATGCAAGAGTCAGTGAACTGTAAGTCTGGCTTAGACTTCTCAAAAATGGAGCAAGGCAATACCTCCAAGCCCCTTAAACAAGAGAAAGCAACAGCTCTTCTGGAGCTCCTTTGGGGCCTCCATCACCAGCATTGTCACTGGTGATGGAGGGAAGCGGGAGGGGTGCATAAATCCATCCATAAATCCAGTGTGGATGAATGAGGGTCCTCTTGCCAGCATTGTCACTGGTGATGGAGGGAAGGATCATCTCCTTCTTGGAACATCACTTCTTCCCCAAGATACCCTCTCTTCCTCAGAGAACCTGTTCCATAGGTTGATGATCTAGAGAAGTTATAGGCTGTCTCCATGCTTGGGAGCAGAATCCTGGCACAGAAAATGAGTTCCGTCACTCAGCATGCAGTAGCTTTGCCAAAAGTACTTAGTGGACTTCTTACCTCTAGGATGAATGTCAGACTGTCTGAATGGTGTCTTTTTTGTCAGTTTGTAAAGCATCTACCAAAGAAGAAAAGCTTCACGATAGCTCAAGCTTACACTGGAGCGGGGTCTTTTGATGCCAGTTGTTTTATGATGGCTGAAGGACACGATGCTAGCCCATAGTAAAGTGTAGGCACTGTTCCTCTGCTGGTCTACCTCGCATTGGTGATCTCCACAAATGTTACAAGCCAAGATTTCAGTCAAGCAGCTTGTGGGATCCTCTCCCTTTTCGTGGCCCTGCTCTTTGTCTGCACGCTGTGCTGAAACTCTTGCAGCGGCACTCATGGGGTGTCGTAAGACTGACAGTGATTCAGACAGAACTAAAAGTTTGAGGTATTTCTGGGGTTTTTTTCTTTTCTTTCACAGGGAGTGGAGCGAAAGAAGGAATGCAGGAGGGGGAATAGGCAGCGGTGAATGGATCCTGCCCCCCACTGTGTTGATTTTAGACATGCAAGGATTTACAGCTGCAAACAGCTGGAGTTCAGTACTTCTCTATAGCAAATATTTACGAAAGAAAGCCCTTGTAGGAAAAGTAGCAAACAGGTCTCAAAGAAGCCTGAAGGGTTGGAATAGGGGTATTATCTCTCAGACAGACTAGTTTTCCTTGGTCAATGAGCTTCTGTTTCATTTGTTTGCATTGCAAGACTTCTCAGGGCGCAACTGGATGGGGTTTCCCTCCCTTCTTGCTTCAGTCAAATTAGACATCCTGGAGAAATTCCATGGGGGGGGGAGTATACAATAGTGCAGGCTATGATGCCATACTAATAACTTGGCCTTGTGGCCTTTGCAACCTGTTCTGGTTCCACAGCGATCCCCGTCAATGGGAGGCATGATTTGGATTGACCTCTGACAACTTACTGAGCAGGCTCATATGCTCTTTGTTCCCATCCCTGGTCATTGCGCAGTGACGTTTGCAAACTCTGTCTGGTATTCACTAGGAGAAACCCTGAGCCACTAAACTAGAAGAGGCCAGATCCTCACCAGATGGAACTCCATGGCCACGGTGCTGGTGGAAAGTGCCATTGAGTCACAGCTGACTTAGAACATAAGAACATAAGAGATGCCAATGTTGGATCAGGCCAAAGGCCCATCCAGTCCAACACTCTGTATCACACAGTGGCCAGAAATACCAGGTGCCATCACTATACCTTGTGGCTAATAGCCACTGATGGACCTCTGCTCCATATGCTTATCTAATTCCCTTTTGAAGCTGTCCATGCTTGTAGCCGCCACCACTTCCTGTGGCAGTGAATTCCATGTGTTAATCACTCTTTGGGTGAAGAAGTACTTCCTTTTATCCGTTCTAACCCGACCGCTCAGCAATTTCATGGAGTGCCCACGGGTTCTTGTATTGTGAGAAAGGGAGAAAAGTACCTCTTTCTCTACCTGCTCTTTCCCATGCATAATCTTATAAACCTCGATCATGTCACCCCTCAGTCGTCGTTTCTCCAAGCTAAAGAGCCCTAAGTGCTTTAACCTTTCCTCATAGGGAAAGTGTTCCAACCCTTTTATCATTTGAGTTGCCCTTTTCTGCACTTTTTCCAAAGCTATAATATCCTTTTTAAGGTGTGGTGACCAGAATTGCACACAGTATTCCAAATGAGGTCTCACCATTGATTTATATAGGGGCATTATTATATTGGCTGATCTGTTTTCAATACCCTTCCTAATAATCCCCAGCATAGCATTGGCCTTCTTTATTGCAGTCACACACTGTCTCGACATTTTCAGTGAGTTATCTACTACAACTCCAAGATCTCTCTCTTGATCAGTCTCTGCCAGTTCAGACCCCAACAACATGTATTTATATTTAGGATTTTTGGCTCCAATGTGCATCACCTTGCACTTGGTCACATTGAACCCCATTTGCCATGTTGACGCTTACTCGCCCATCTTTGACAGATCCCTTTGGAGTGGACTTACGGAGACACTGCAGAGTTTTCAAGGCAAGAGACATTTGGAGGTGGTTTGCCATTGCCTGCCTCTGCAGGTGGTCTCCCATCCAAGTACTAACCAGGGCTGACTCTGCTTAGCTCCCAGGATCTGATGAGATCAGGCTGTCCCGGTCCATCCTGGTCTGGGCCACGGCCCCTGAACTCGAGACAAATCTCAAGATGCTACCGCGTCAAAGAGTGTTTGTCTATAGGATCCACTGTACACTGGGCCAGACAACCTAGCAAGATGCCACCACAGAGCTATCACAACCACTAAAAAGTGCTTCGGCAAACAGGACAAAATAAT